CACACACACACACACACACACACGCCCGGCATGAGTTTAAGCCACCCGGTCCAGGACTCAAACTGCAGTCAACTACATGAGAGTCCAGTGACATAGCCATTATGCTAACTGCTGGTCCCTGTATATTTCATTCTTCTTCTTCTTTTTTGGGGATTTTGAGCACACATGCATGCACACTTGCACACACCTAGTGAGTTTCAAGCTGCCGGATTCGAGATTTGAACTGTGGTTGGCCATGTGGAAGTCCAGCTCCTGAACCACTATGCCACCTGCTGGCCCCTATTTCTGTATATTTCAAGCCCACATTCAAGCAGTAGAAATACTATTCCCTCCACCTCCCTCCTTTCTAGGGACACGAACAAACAGATACAGAGAAATTTTAGAAAGGTCCTACAATGAGAGTTTAGAGGGCCATCAGGTGCTTTGTCTCAAGTTCACAAACTGTTTTCCTCTCTTTTGTTCCTTTTTCAATTGCAGACCTCATATCCCGGTCAGCAAGTTAGTGGTCTCAGAATCCTACGACACGTACATCAGTAGAAGTTTCCAAGTAACAAAAGAAATAATAAGCGAGTGTAGAAGTAAAGGTAGGTGGTCTCGCTTCGGGTGCCATGTTGAAATGTCTGATCGTTTCTTCACTGTGGTTATTAAGAGGCTGTCTGAGATGTTTCAAGCTGCTTTGGCATGCTCCTTTTATAGGAAAGAAATGTATTTCCAGACTCTCTTTAAGATACTTTCACAGGGCCAGCAGGTGGAATGAAGGTTAAGGTGCTGGATCCCACGTGGCCGACTTCACGGTTCGAGTTCTAGACCATAAAAAAATCACTCCTATTTTTTTTTTTTTTTTTTTGGCGGGAAGGCGGGGGGGGGATTTTTGCTAGAGGGCATGTACACTCGTCAGAGAGATAGAAGGTGAGAAATCACGCCCCCGGGGGGGATGACCACATTGTAGTCCCTTCTCCTCCATTCTGATCTCAGGATTCTGAGCATACATGCACACATGCCCAGCGTGAGTTTTAAGCCACCAGGTCCGGAACTCCAATGGCAATGGACCATGTGGGAAACCAGCGCCTTAACCAGTATAGCACCTGCCGGCCCAGCAAAGCACTTTTTAAATGCTGCTTCAGCAGATTGTCTTCTCGTATGTTGGCCCTTACAAAGTTTATGAACGTCTTCCAATTCCTTGCCTTTTTCCCCAGGAAATAACATTCTGATTGTGGCCCATGCGTCTTCCCTCGAAGCGTGTACCTGCCAACTTCAGGGCCTGTCGCCTCAGAACTCCAAGGACTTCGTACAAATGGTCCGAAAGGTAATTCATTCTTATACGTAGGGGGCCCGTGGTGCCTAGTAGCCCATAGCAGCCAGCAGGCCGCGGATGCCTTCATTCTTCAAAGCACGTGTTTGCCCTGAGCTGTGAAGGCCCGATTATTTATTCATGTGTTTATTTCAGTCTACTAGAGAGGGACAGAGTAGGGGAGAGAGAGAGAGAGAGAGTGAGAAAGAAAGCCACCAGGTCTGGGACTTGAACCGCGGTCAGCCATATGGGACTCCAATACCTTTAACCACCACGCCACCTGCTGGCCCAGGAAGACCCGATTATCGACTCACTCTTCCAAAATGCATGGAGCGGTGCTCAGTCCCAGGCACTGTATGAGGCTTCGTGTAAGAGGAAAAGGTGAAATCCAGGAAACAGCTAAGCAATTTAAAGCAAGCAGGCTCAGGACCAGCAGATGGCATCATGGTTACATCGCTGGACTCTCACATAGTAGACTGTGGTTCAAGTACCAGACCCGGCAGCTTAAAACTTATATTGGATGTGTGTGTGTGTGCATGCCCAAAGTCCTGAGAGAAGAATGGAGAAGGGGTTGCAGTGTGGCCACCCCACTGGGGGGGGGG